GTTGATGTGCGATTATCAGAATGAAAAGTAGTCATCATCTGAATTCCACTTGACCGCACCCACCTCTCCTTCCCCTAACTAAATTGCCGCAACTCTCTCAAGCCCACGAAAACGAACAAAAGTATACACCAGCGGTGAATCATCACTCGAAGCACCCTGAAGTTGAAGATTAAGGAACGAAAACCGATCGGAGCTAATTTGAAACTCCTCCAACTCATCAATGCAAGATTTTGGCAACCACACTAATCGACATGAGCGGTTAATTTTAATACTCAGCATTGATCTAGTGTGATCATCTGAAGAGGTCTTACTGATTGGTTCTCCGTCTGCCATAGAACCTGTCCAATTCGGTGACCTTCTCACTTGGCCTGATGAAGCTTTTGTCTCAAAAGCGAAAAGCTGTCCAATTAAAAACTGCCGTTTGTTTACCAAGCCCTTCCGAAATGATGACTTCTCAATCAGTTCCAATTTTTTTCCATTCGGTTGAGTCCATAGTCACATGATTTGAGCGCCTGTTCTGAAACTTTATCATGGCCAGAAACAAACGATATTTTGCTGTTCCATATCAACTGTGTGGTGAGCATCAACCTTGAATAGGCTGCCAAGATTGGCTCCATCAGAACTTAGTCGGCTAGTCTGAGCAATCAAATTACCTGCCAGGATCACGATATCCGTAATTCCCGGAAACAGGATTGTATTCGTGCTTGCCCTGGCGCAATTTGGTGATCGCCTCCCTGAACACAGAACCAGAAACTGTGTCTACAAAATTAAGTGTGACAGCTGCACCAAGGTCTGTTTAGGACAGGCGGCCAGAGAACTTCACATCAGAATCGGAGAGCGTAGGGGACCGCTTAGAAATGTGGATGAATATAAAGCTCTACTGAAAGACTCGGCAATTGCGGGACACGCACGGGACATGGGACACAAAATGAGAAAATGGTGAGGTTTGGAGGCCAGGGCTGCGGTCCACGTCACAGAGACTAATAGCCGAGCTTGTAGAAATCGCCAAGTATCTCAGCGTCAACAGAATAGAAAGCAAGTGTGTGGAGAACGGTCTTGGATCCGCCGAGCTAACATGTGTTGATGTGCGATTATCAGAATGAAAAGTAGTCATCATCTGAATTCCACTTGACCGCACCCACCTCTCCTTCCCCTAACTAAATTGCCGCAACTCTCTCAAGCCCACGAAAACGAACAAAAGTATACCAGTGGCACCAGCGGTGAATCATCACTCGAAGCACCCTGAAGTTGAAGATTAAGGAACGAAAACCGATCGGAGCTAATTTGAAACTCCTCCAACTCATCAATGCAAGATTTTGGCAACCACACTAATCGACATGAGCGGTTAATTTTAATACTCAGCATTGATCTAGTGTGATCATCTGAAGAGGTCTTACTGATTGGTTCTCCGTCTGCCATAGAACCTGTCCAATTCGGGACCTTTTTCACTTGGCGTGATAAGCTTTTGTNGCGAAAAGCTGTCCAATTAAAAACTGCCGTTTGTTTACCAAGCCCTTCCGAAATGATGACTTCTCAATCAGTTCCAATTTTTTTCCATTCGGTTGAGTCCATAGTCACATGATTTGAGCGCCTGTTCTGAAACTTTATCATGGCCAGAAACAAACGATATTTTGCTGTTCCATATCAACTGTGTGGTGAGCATCAACCTTGAATAGGCTGCCAAGATTGGCTCCATCAGAACTTAGTCGGCTAGTCTGAGCAATCAAATTACCTGCCAGGATCACGATATCCGTAATTCCCGGAAACAGGATTGTATTCGTGCTTCGTTCCTAAAGAGTCTATGTAACAGCTTTCCTCATCCCAGACGCTTTTGAGTGAAGTTGTCAGGATAGTCCTCATCATCGACAGAATAATTTCAGTTTTCGACACTGGAGGTTTGCTACCGTACAACCATAATTTATTTGGAGGCCTTACTGTGGCGAGAAGCGGGTGCCTAATACAATAATTGCGAGATGCTTACATTCCCAGACGCTCACCCGAGCTCCCTGGAGAGAAACTGACAACACCATTTCGAAGGCTGCATTCCAACTGAATACCTATTCAATTATTTTCGGAAGGGATCCTATCCAGAACACTTGCTTCAGTTCAATATTTATTTGCTTGCCTATTTTTTGCATCCGGCTGTTGTTTCCGCAGGATCTTGATTGGTCTTGGGCACGAAGTGTTTCCAAAATGCGTTCTTTTCATCAACTTACAACAATAGGATACATAAAATGACTTGGATTACTGGACGATTGAACCGAGTGAATGATACCATCTCAGTCCTAAATGAGTTGTCTGAAAGCCTTATTGTGAGTAAAAGGATAAAAGTAGATGAGAAAGAGACTTGGTGCCAGCCTACCACATTCTTTTTAAGGTGCACACACCCCCAGACACACATTTAGACAATCTGGATAGATATTGATAAAAGGAACGCCATTGAAATCGCTTGGTAGCCATATTTTTGCAGTGTCTCCAACCAGGCGCAATAGGATCACGCCATCCTCATCCTGGAAGGCGAGTCGCACCGACTGCACCCAAAATTTTTGTAATCTCTTCCACACCCCGCTGCCAGGTCACGGGTTCCCCACCACTCTGAATCAGGCACGAAAGCAACATCCTCTTCGTGAACGATAGTTCGGCATGCGCAATACATGGCCTAATCAATGCAGCTTCGGGTGCTGGACACATTCTTCAATGGAAGTCCCAGTTGCACAATCAAACACTCGCTTTCTAATTGTTACGGATACGTTGACACCAACATGAGCTATGGTTCTGAGACAGCAGTTATGGAAGGCATCAAAACGTCTTATTGGCTTCTCGGACACGTGAAGTCTCACAGCCGTGTTACAAAAACAGGTCGCTCCGTTAAAAGTCGTTCAGCTGCAACTCACACCGTAGCCCGATGCACACCTCTCTTGAGCTCCAGGGATATATCGCTTTGACACTATGGGTGTTTCAAATTAGCAAGCGCCGCCAGAGCCCTGCAGATTCGTGAATTGGCCTCGTCTGTCACACTACAGTCGGAGCAAGGCAACTTCCAAGATACGTAAAACACTCCGCAGCTTTGAGTGCCTCTCCCTGGATTGTAAGTTTCGTGTTGAGTGACTGCACTTTGTTGGTACAGAGCGCGTGCCATAGGACGGGATGGCTTTTGTTAGTTCATCCGAAAACATGCGCCTTTTCCTTTTAGAAGACACGATGTTGTCTGCTTCTCGATTTCTCAGGCGGCAAGCTTGTCACTTGTGTTCATGTTCAGTGGTGCTGGACGTGATTAGTTCTGCATTGTTTGTCCTTTCAACATAATGACGTTATGTTGCTTGAAACTTCTCTGCTTACCTCTGACCTCACGGAGGTCGAAATGCTCCCGGTGCGCTCGATCACGAATAAAACGCACTCAGATGATATCGCTCACATAGTATCGCAGGCCATGTTCCTCAGAAGTTGAGACCATTTTAAACCAGCTATATGTTTTTTCTCACGCTTCAACATACGTTAAAATCCTGCGAAGTGCACCAAAAGTTTGTATGGAATCAAACTCGAATCTTAAGCTTACTGGCTAGGCGATCGATGCGATGGCAAAGTAAATTTTCCAAGCGCTTGTGTACAATCTCTGGTGAACTAGCAGAAGACTAAATCAAGGCTTGATTTGGAAAGACCAGCGCGGTTTTCGCCAACCCATGATGCCTGTGGTCCTGGTCGCGTGTTAGGACCAAAGTAGACAGCGGCCGTCCTGTTCATACGGCCTCATGAATCTCCATTCCTGCATATGCATTGAAACTTTTGAGTATTTCATCGTTGGTGTCTGCGAAGCGTTTTACAGGTCTCCAGAAGGGTCATAGGAGCTGTAGTGCTGAGACACGTCAGGGGAGTTTTAGAAGAATAAATCTCTCCTCGGTGGACCAGTTTTTCCCCGTCCACAGGCTGTGTACTGGTGTATCAGATGACCGCTCGCAGAGTACTTATTCAGCCCTGTTCTGTGTGCAAGCGACTGAAAGCTGGGCAATCGATAACCTTGAAACGAATTATGAAAGCTCCATTGGTAAAATCAGCTTGGTTTACAAGCTTCGCCTCCTTGAATCAGGACCCCATGAACGCGAAGTATCAATGGTTATTGACATTGACGGACGTATTTCATTCGCGCTATTATCGCTCCAGCATCACTGCCACTGGAATCAGTGCGTAGCTCTACAATGGCTCACTTTAATAGGTATCTCGAGCGATTCAACATCAATCGACTGATTAGGTCATCGCCTCTAATGTTTGGGAGCTGCGCCCCTATTTCATCGCTTTTCCGTCGAAACTGTTAAACGAGTAACAGTAAATTAACTCAACTTCTTCCAGATTCCTACCGCTCTGCGCCTTCTCAAAATTCCGCAACCATGAGCTCTTAAAGTGCTGCTGTGTCTTCTTTGCATGGGGCCTCGAACAGTATTTTCTTCCCAACTCACCACTTTTTGCATGGTTGAAAAGTGCCGTCTGCATTGTTTTCATCTGTGTGGTCGTGACAAAATTGATGGGCCGATCAGTCTCTTGTTACGACTGGCCAAACGGGCAAAAGGACAAGTCACTTAAACATGGATGAAATTCCCACCCAATGTTTATACTTGTGTCATTTCCGTTCGTGGGGTCCCAAATTTGAATTTGTGTTCACCCCCGGATCCCATTGTCTACTGGAACATCAGCTGAGGTGCAGACGCATTTGTCTGGTTACTTCTGACGCTCTCTGTCGGTTGAGCAACCCTACGTACCGTGATGATGAAACTCCCGAACTAGTATTCGGGCAACTCCAGGGTTTCTCTGTGGATACTCCCGACCGTGTTGCTTTTTTCTGGATAGACCAATTTGTCTGCAACCAACCACATACGTTCGCCTTTTTGTTTATCGTTCGCTCACGTGGCCGTGTCCCAACCGCACCGTGATCGCTGGTTATTTTGAGGATTTGAGTTGTTCACTCAGCAAATGTCACATGCAAACGTGATTTCTTCTGCTTATCATTTCAGTTCGTTCGCCTGTTCTCTGCTTCACATACTGTCGATTTCCTTGTATGCTTCAGCGCTTTATTGGTTTGTTTCCAATAGAGCCTTTGTTGCTGTATCCTCAACAATGTCCAAAGAATTTTCCAAAACAGACCCATTTCGTATTAAGGCAGAAATCAAAGGCAAGAAACAGAAACGAGCGCAGGGCTCTTCCCACTACCGACCCAAGGCACCAACTGAGTTGACACCGTTACCTCATTTCAAAGGTCCGGAATCCTTTCTTACTGTGTAAATTTCTAGATGTTCCTCCATCCGAACACCAGGAACTGTTCATCAAGAAGTTACAACAGTGCTGCGTTGTTTTCAACTTTGTCGATTCATCCTCAGACATGGCGAGCAAGGAGCTCAAGCGTCGGTTTCTGACAGAGCTGGTTGAATATGTATCGGCTTCTCGTAACGCCTTGCATGAATCGACCTATCAGCCCATCATTTCAATGGTACGTTTGTCCTTTCGGACCGTTATTTTCTTATTTTCCACCATCTTGCGATCAGGTGGCGTGCAACATTTTTCGGCCCCTTCCCCCCACGGACACATCCGACTTCGATCCGGAAGAGGATGACCCTGTGCTTGAAGTTTCCTGGCCTCATCTCATGGTAATTTCACGACGGTTTCATCAATATAACCAATTCTACCCCCCGACTAGCATGTGTATGAATTCTTCTTACGCGTGTTGGAATCTCCGGAATTCCAACCAAGCATTGCCAAAAAGTACATCGACCAAAAGTTTGTGCTTCAGGTAGGACGCGCTTTACGTTTAGACTCATTTACATCACTTCCTAGCTACTTGAACTTTTCGACAGTGAGGATCCACGTGAACGCGAATTACTTAAGACAGTTGTCCATCGCATATATGGCAAATTTCTTGGATTACGATCGTTCATCCGAAAGCAGATAAACAATATATTTTTGAGGTACGTGGGGATAGTGTGCGTTTTTCATCACTCTATCAGGTTCATCTACGAAACGGAACAGTTCAATGGCGTGGGCGAGTTGTTGGAAATTCTTGGTAGTATAATTAACGGATTTGCACTTCCCTTGAAATCGGAACACACACGGTTCCTTGCCAAGGTTCTCATCCCGCTGCACAAAGCCAAATCTCTGGTAATGTTTCATCCGCAGGTACGTTAAATGGTTGTTGGCCTGTGCTTTTATTTATTCGAGAGGTGAGATCCGAGCTCATTTTGCTGAAGGGCCACTGCTGAATTTTCCATCTGACGTTCTTCCATTTCTGGTGCTTCCTTTGGTTTGAATGGTAGCTGTGCTTCAGAAGGTGCTACTAATAGAAGATATGTTTGTAATAAAACCACTCTACTAGCTCCTGTTTGGTGTTACACTTCTATTCGGATTCACGGTGCTTTTAATTTATTATGATGATAGGTGAAAGACCCTGAAAGATCATTTTGAATCCTGGTTCCATCACCATGCTACCGTTCTGAGAAGTCTTAGCGCAATATGCGATCTTAGCATTCACGCTCAAATCATCCAAGTTGGTTATCAGATCTATCTTTGCTTACATACGATGACATTGATGAGAGAGCATTTGGGTTTTGCTACCACTTAGTTGCACCCCTTACTCAAGGGGAGCAAGCCTGATAGCTTAGCTTTGTTGACTGCTCACCGAAGCTGTCTCAATGTGGGAATGCCCTGTGTTAAACGTCATGGTTACTGGATTAGCAACGCTTCCATCATCCAACAGAGTATACTCCTCTTCCCCATCTCCTACTAACCGAAGCCGATAGAATCTCCACAGATTTGAACCTGTCGACCATTATTTGGATAACTTTACTCCACCCTACCACTGGAACCATCAACTTTTTCTCTCGTCGCCCCAAACACCCGTTTTCCATTTGCCTTTCACGAATAGCGCGTCTTCTCTGTTCGTTCCTCACGGACATTTGAATTTTGTCCTTTTCTTCACATCCCCCTACCGTATCGCGGGCAGCTTTTTTCCTCAGTTTACTACCGACTTTCCCAGTAGAGCGTGTAGCGTCCTTACTGTCGCTAATGCTACTATCATCAATTGGGGAGTGAGATGGCTCAAGTGGTTAGAGCTCGGATTTACTGACCAGAAGGTGCGTGGTTCGAACCCGACCTCTGTTTCTCGACTTCCCCTGTCTAGGCTTGGGCAACCTGGCAGTATCCCAGCCCTCGTGCTTCCCTTGGGGGGGACATGGCAGCTAAGCATCGAAAGGGTGTTACAGCTGACCAGTTTTTCTACCACCAATTATCCATTTATGAAGTAGTAGTAGTAGCGGGAGGACACAAGTGTTTTTTTAACTCCGGTTGAACATCATCGTGTACGAAGCCATGAAAAGCGTACGTCAGTTTATTCTTCTACGGCTAAGCCAACTGGAATCCTATTGCTCATTGGAATCTGACACGACAAAGTCGGTTGGATGCGTAAGAAGGAACCCAAGCTCCATTCAGTCGACCAACTTTGTGCTCAAAGTGGAGCTACTCGCACTGGATCGCAAAACGCATCAGGGGAGTGAAAACAGGGGCTCATGAAGCAACGCTCGCTCTACTGAAATCACTGGGTATCCTTTCATAGCATTCATACATTTCACACAATCATCCTTGTCTAGCCTGAAAGCCGAGAGGAGATTTTATCCGATTTTTTTGCAATGGCTATTCGTTTCCAGAAAGCTTTATGTGGTGTCATTGTCACTGGAAGACCCCTATATGAATAGTATAGTTTGCGCACTATCTCGAGATAGCTGAGTGGTTAGGCCGCGAACCTAGTGACCGGGAGGTCCGTAGCCTCTCGACCGCCCCTTTCTAGGCTTGGGCAACCTGGAGGTATCACAGCCTTTGTGTTTTTTTCGGGTTGCGTGGTAGCTAGGTCCAGACAGTGTTACAGCCGAACAACTACGGCTGCTTCTTGCTTGCTTGAAACATCCGCATTCCCTGTCTTCAATGTATGACCCTCACGTTTGAACGTTGTGTTGATACCAAATGCCAATTTTTGTCCGTCATTCCGCTTTTACTTTGCACTTATTCTGTGAATGGAGGAGAATGCTTACTGACAAGGTAGTAGTAAGCACTTATCAGTTGGACATTATCCACATCTGGTCAGATTAGCGTTGAGACATGAGACATTTCATCTTATTCAAGAGACTGTAGAAGTGGTTGGTCGACGAGTGGTGTACTTCGAACACTCCAATGTGCGATCTAATCCATAGCATGCCAGTTGATGAAAGCCAGGATTTTACTAAGCCCTGGTGATTATTTCAAACATCGAGGCTTGTCTCGCGCTCGTGCGAGTTAGTGTTACACATGGCTTAGTGTTCGTGTTCACGTACGCCCTTCCCCGTCTAAGCTAACGTTTGTCGAGTGTATCGGAATTGAATCATTGTTCTATCATGAAGTAGCTAATTCACTGTTGTGAGATGTACATTTTGTTCTCCCAAAGGTAGTTTCTTGGAAGCAACCAGTTTCGGAACTGTCACTGGTGGGACGCTCAACTTGTGCGTTTTTCATCAGGCGTTTTATGCTCAAATCAGACTTTATTAGACTTTCTATGCTTTGCCATGAGGATGCTAGCTAACGGACTGTGGCCGCTCCATTTATTGGCAGTGCAGCTCCCTCCAGCCGGACGATGTACCCTTTTTTGCACTGTGGCAGATCTTAATTCCCTGTGTTCGGCTCGTTCCAGAGCTGTTATTTGTTGCGTTGGCCCACTTCACCACATTGGGAATTGGAAACTGCACAGCCCTTACATTGAACGTCCTGCGTAGTTCATGGTCAAACCAGACGTGACTTTGAATAGTTTTTTTCTCTCGGGAACGAATTCATCGTGAAATATTTTTGATCCATCTTTCGGTGTGCATATTTTTAGTTGAGGTCACTAAATCCGATAGAAGGCCAACTATAATCACCGGAGACTCCTTGAAGTTGGTTGGTTGGAAGGGTACACCCTTGGATTTTACGTCACTCGCAGATGGTTCACCAGTGTCACGAGATCGCTGGTACCCTTCTGCTCCCTAACACAAAACGCAAACACGGTGCACGTTGGTTGTCAACCGATAGTGACGCCTCGTAGACAGAAGACGCACCGTTCAAAGAGCATAAGGTGTTCACATGCGACGAGTAGTGGAAATGGCTTGTTGAGCGAGGTGCTGATCGACATCCAGCTTATGGATCAATCTTTTCGGGTATCTGATCGATTGCGGAATCCCTGAATTCTCACCCACTGGAGGTCAGCTGGTACGAATATCTCAGAAACGATATCCTTCTTGTTTAGAGTCCGCTGTTGCCCTAGCTATTCTCCTGCGGGGATCGTACCAGTAGACCCGGATTCGAAATATTGGCGAGATTTTTGCATGCGTATCTGATCACTTGGCTACAAACGATAATGTCCAACCAGCTGTAACACGCAAAAACGTTTGTTCTGTTTGTGAATCATCACTAGTCTTTATCCTGCTTTGCCAGACTGTGAAGTTTTTTGTGAACACATTTCGACCGTCAACTCCTTGGTGTTCTGCAAGTTACGCGGATTTTATGGTTGAGCACATGTGCGCGGAGTTTGCGTATTGTCTGATCACACTCGTAGGCTCGCCGTCAATCTCACACGCTTGGTTAAGCTTCGAATTCTAGCATTGATCCAGCTTCTAAATCAAGGCGCGAATCCATTAGACTAACGTGGCGTCCTGTCTAGAGCGCACTCACTCATGTGGCGCATGTTTTCGTTTTATTGACCTTCCTCGTGATCATTGAGTTCATCCGCAAACCTGAAATACAATCGTCTTCTGTGCGCCACAAGCTCGGAGCAATGGTATGTTCTTCTTTGAGCGAGTACTGAGCGTAGACTGCTATTTTTCTCGCTGTCTCAAATTTATCGCTTCTGTTCGTAGTTGGCGCGTCAGTGAACCGCATCGGATACATACACTTTTTCCTCAAGGTCTCGATCGAATGCAGCACACTCATGGGTGTCGATTCGGCACGATCACGTTTGCACGTGACACCGTGTTTGGATTGAAAACCAAAAATGCATATATTACCTGGCAATCGAAATGGAAAAGTCACAAAAAATTGTGTGTGACTAGGAAAGATGATACAATCGGTTTTACAGAGGGTCGGCTGGTAATATAACGCACATTGGATAAAAATTTCCAACAGCGAAAACAACCACTACTGATTTCGAGGGGGTTGTTGCTTTGCTGTGCGTATTCCGCTTATGACCCATTTCAGCTAAACTATTCTTGAGTTGTTTTTGGTAGCTAGGTAGTGATTATTAATGCATCAGTAAAGTTTCTTCGTCATTTTTATGCCTATCCTCTTGAATGTCATGACTTTCCGTGACACCTCTTTACACGTACCACTCTCTAACGGTGCTCCTCTGTGATTTTACCTGTGATCTTTTGAACGACCCAAGCTGAGAGAACGCACCTTTTGTATTTCCATCGTATTCGGGTATTATATGTGTAGCGCCCAATTTCAATGTATTATTTTTGTATATTTCCACCGCATCGTAAATCAGAATGCTCAACATTGAATGGAGCTAACCGCAGCCTTGACGCTTGCTAGACTTGGGTGCGCGTACCCTTAGAGACATCATATGGAACGCTACGCAGGTGCGGAACTCGGTTATGGTTATAACAACTCTCTGCATTTTCGACTGCTGAAACATGTCGTTTTGACATACTTGTGTCAATTTGACGGATGAGTCGGGTCATTTCTGCCATGTTTCTGTGATTTTCTTTTCTAAATATTCGGTCATGTGAAAGTTACGGTTATCTCCACACACTCTTTTCGCTATGCTTCCCCAAACTTTCTGAACGTGGTTCAAATTTGGACTCTGAGCCAGTTAATCCACTAAATGAATAATGTATTATGGCTTAACGAGGCTGACAGCGTTCACGAACAGTCATGCTGTCACTTTGAAAAATCATATTGTCGTCTGTAGTGCCAAAAGTAATTATAAGAAGCTAGTCGTTCTGTGTCTTTAAACACAAATCATGCGTCCGCCTTCCACCCAACATTTTCCAACGCCTTTTTATTTAAAAAATTGCTGTTCAAGCCATCACAGCATCGCTGAGGTAACGTCGACCGCTGAAATTCCTTTCTTTCTAAGATTCGAACCGTTCAGATCAAACTTGCTTTCCTCACCGAAAATCTTT